CCCCCCCCGCCCCGCGGCCCGGCCCGCCCCGCACGCACCTGGTCCGCGCCGGAGCCGGAGCCCGAGCTCCACCCGCGCTGCTGCTGCATGAGGAAGGCCCCGCGCAGGCCACCGCGCAGCACGCCCGCCGCCATCGCCCCCCGCCCTTACAGCGCCGCGCCTGGCCGAGCAGCGTGCAACCCAGAGTGACGCGCAGCCGGGCCGACCAGCGCTGAGCCCGACGGTGGCAAGCCACCGCGCCGCGCCCGTGGGGGAAGGGCCCGCGACGCCCTATCAGGGGTTAAGGGGCGTGGCCATCCCGCTAGGCAAAGGGGTGGGACGCGCGCTCCCCGCTCGCTGATTGGCCGCGAGCTGACTGGCAGCCCGTGAGCGTGGGGGGGGGAGCGCTTTGTGCGCATGCGCCGTAGCCGTGTCGACTCATTCCCAACCTGCGCAGCTGGCTGCGAGCCAGGGAGTGCCTGCTTCTAGTGCGCATGCGCGCCTCCCGCTTTTTTTTTTTTTGCAGCCCTCGGCTTGCACTCTTTGTAGCGGGTGTTTGGGCCTTTTCCTCGGGCCGTGCTTACTAGCTCCCGCTGGGAACAGCGGTTTGTATCCCTTTGTGGCTCCTTGGTTTAAACCTGCCTGTCCCACAGTTCTCCTCACCTAGGGGGGTGCACACACATGGTAAGGCGACTTAAGTGAGTTGGCTTAAGGTATGTGGAGCATACACAGGTACAGCTCCTTGACATGATGGTTATCTTCTGAGCAAAGTCAACTTAACTAATGAGGCTCAAGATAATACACCTCAGGGGGGTGTATGCTCTGATAAGTTGACTTAAAAGTTAGGTCAACTTAACTGTTGGAAAGTTAGTACATGTGTATGCGCCACAGGTTCACTCAGTAGCTACAAACGTGAGTCAGGAAGAAGAGAACGTGCATACAGCTGTGCTAGTTCTACCTACTGTTAAGGTAGTTTGATACCTTCCCTTATAAGATCCCGTTTTCAGTTGCTCTCACCCTGGCCAGACGTGAACTTTAGGGCTGACCTGTTTCATTTCAGAGGTTTGCCTCGGGCAGGTTTGTTTTCTTTAAGTTCCACTTAAACCAGTCCAGCCATTTTGGAGAATAAGATGAAGGAAAAATACATTGGTTTCCTGTATTAAAGGACTGACATTTTTTTTTTGGGGGGGGGGGTTGGTTTTGGGTTTTTTTAAGATATCTAGTGTCTCTATGATTTGGAGTCAGAACTTGCAGTTTGGCAACTATGTGGATTTTGTGGTAGGGTTGTGCCTTTTACTGTCCTGAAATAAAACCACAGCTTTGGCCAACTTATAAAGCTCTAAAAATTGCAGCTTGCATGTGGTCAGGCAGAACTTGTTAGAGTAAAACGTAGATCTCCAAAAATTCTGTCTGCAGGGAGCATGCTGTGCTCGAAAGATGCAAATGCTAAATAGGACTTTTACTTCCATTGCAACTGCATGCGACTTCTAATGTCAGATTTGGAGATGCTGGTGCTTTTCAAGGTGGACTTGTAATCGGTGCTGGATGGATTTTTTTCAGAACAGATATGTGTACTGGCCCGCTACCCAGCTGAGCTAGGCTTCAAACACACCACATCAATACAGGCCAGGTTCTTTGGGTAGATGTGATCTCTTTTATTAGACCAACTGAGTTATTGGAAAAAAGGTTCTTTGCAAGCTTTCAGGCACAAACACCCTTCTTTAGGCATTGGGAGCCTGCTGTTCTGTGATCTCAAGGAACAACAGACTTCCTGGAAGATCTCAGAACTGCGGAGACTCCCTACGCCTGAAGATGGGTGATTGCACCCGAAAGCTTGCAAAGAACTTTTTTCCAACGACTCAGTTGGTCTAATAAAAGAGATCACATCTACTCAAAGAATCTTGCCTGCCTATGTCCTTAGACCAACACAGCTACAACCAAAAACACACAAAATCAATGCTGTATCTGAATCAGGAGCCTCAATCCCAGTTTGAGCAGAGCCAGGACAGGCTGAAGAAACACAGGTGCACAGACATGATCTACAAGCACCTCAGTGAGATGGCCTGAATTCTCAGCTGCTGGGGTTATCCCAGTGGTTCCTCTGGCCCCAGCTGCTAATTGTCCTCACCTCACCCTGCTGCCACAGCCCCTGCTGCTGCTGCCTTCTGTTGGGCCACACGTACGAGGCATCCCCACAATGTCCAGAGCTGGAGGAGGACACAGAGTTCAAATCCTCCCACAATAAATTGCACAAGGACTCAAGCGAGTACTCCTATGCTGAGCTGCCTCATCAAAGTAGAGTGCCTCCTTTCACCACCCCACCACTGAAGGGGAAGGTTTTACAGATGTCAGTCTGCAGACCACTATCCCCCCAAGTCAGGCATCCCCAAATATTCAAACTTGCTTTGAAAATTTAACCTTGGATAAGATGATGGAAAAATTCCTGCAAAGTGCAGATACAGAAGAGAAGTTTTACAAATATGATCAATGGCTGAAAACTGAAAACAAATGCTGTGAAACTGAGCTTGCTCAAAAGCTCCAGGTGATACAAATATTGGGGCAGACACTGGCAGGAACTTCTTTTAAAGTATCACAGAAGTCACAGTCTGTACCTGCCAGTCCACCTCAGAAAGCAAATCACTGCTAATATGGCTATAACTTTAAATAGAATGACACGACAGCATCACTTTCTCCACCAATAGGGTCCCGAGTGACCTTTTCATGACACAAAACACGTTCCCTAAAGGAGATGAAGAACATTTTTCCATTGATGACCAATGTCATTCTTCCTTTAACATAGGAATGTCAAACTCATTTGGCCCTTAGTCTGGATCTGGATTGCATAGCTCCAGACCCACTTTTGGCAGTAGGACAGGGCAGACAGTGGCAACATAAATGGCATCAGGTAGCCATGGGGGTTAATGCAGCTGCTGCTTGCTGACCTCCACAGAAATACATACCCCAGAATCTGGCAGCAGGCCATGCTCCTAAATTCCTGGCCTCTACAGGAGCCCTGCAGGCCATATGTTTAACGCACCTGTTCTATCAGAAAGAAGCAGACAGGTCAAGGTGGCTGAATAGGAATCAGTGGAGGATGTGAGGAGTACACAGGAGCATGATATTTTAATGCAGGGGTGTCAGACTCACCCAGGGCCTCAGGCTGGATCTAGACTGTTGGGCTTCTTGCAGGCGGGAACCAGCCTGAGACATGAGGGTGGCTAATGCAGCTGCAGCAGCAGTTGCAAGTCTGGCAGTGGTGGCTGCTCTGCATGTGGCAGCATCTGGTCTGTAGTGCAGACTGGGAGTGCTGTGGCAGTGAGCCAAGCTGACCACTGACAGCCAAGGTGGTGAGGCCAAAGGGCCATGAATTTGGTGGCAGACCATGTCCCCCAACTTCTGGTGGCCCAGTGGTAGCCTGGTGTGCCAGGCAGAGAGGCTCAGCTGGCCATATCTGGCCCATGGGCTGTATGTTTAACACCTCTGGTTTAATGCAGTTGCAGTTCTCAAAGCAGGTATTGATTTTGCCCAGCCCCTCCTAGTTGCTGCTCCAGATAAAGGATGACAACATACTACTGCCATTGGTTACTGAATACAAGTAGCAAAAATCTTTATAGTGCATCTCTGTGGTTCCCATCTTGGCTCCATGAATTGTTTCCCTAAGGGGGACAATAACGTCCCTTTATCAGTCTGAGTTGACATTCAAGTCAGTAGGCATTAGGAAGTAGGATGCCTGCTGGGAACTGAAAGCTGCATTACAGATAAGTTGCCAAAAATCCTCTGGCTTTCTGACTAGTTGTGGGCATAAATGATACCACTACTCATCCATCTGAGCAGGCCAAAAGGAACAGCAGGGCTGCGAAACAGAGGGTGAAGGAACTGGGCTTGAAGAGATGTTCTTTTTACTTCTTCCAGCCAAGGCCAGAAGTGAAGACAGACAGATGCCTCCTGTGGGTGAATGCACAGCTGTGCAAATGGCTTTACTGACATGGCTTTAGCTTTCCTGACCATGGGGTGATCTTAAAGACTGTTGTGTCAAGATGAAGAAGGGGTGGGAGGTGTTGGTCTCAGACTTGCTTATCTAGTGAGGGGGTCTTTAAACCAGTTCAATGGAAACTGGTGACAAACCTACAAATAAATATAAACCCAAGGCCTAAGAACCGGAAATCATATGCACAGTCATAAGCATCAAGGGAGCAATCGGTGTGAAACTTAGATCGTCTATTTAGAAACTTAGATCATCAGGGAGTCCTGAACACCCCTCCCCACTTTTTGCTGTGTGGGTGTGTCACTATATTCCTCCTCCCACATGCTCTGATCCCAGAAGCAGTTCAGTCTGAATCAGAGATTAGTGTGTGTGGAAAGCAGTTTGAGAGACAGTTTCAAGGGAGTTGAGACGCACAGGTCCGAGTTGAGCTGTATAGGTCAATGATTGCACCCAATGCTATTAAGATGACTCCAGGTTAAGAAAAATGGTCACAGGTCATAACTCTGATCCCTACTCAAGGTGGCCAAGTTATCTCAGAGGAATGGGTGGGAATATGGAAATATGAACCTGAACCGAACAAAACTTTCCCACACAAAGGCAGAGGGGTGAGAGCCAGAAAGTGCCTTGAGCCGTAAGGACAGATTCAGAGGACCTTGAGACCTGGCCACCCGGTACTGAGTAGGTCTATGTATCCTCTGCTGGATATTGCTGCTTTTGGAGATGTTGCCTGGTTGCTAAGATCCCCATAAACCTGCGTCTGGTTCAGAGGAAATTGCTTTGGCTTGTCTTGTGCTTCTCCAGATGAAATAAAAGCCCCTAGCACTGGCAATGCGTAGGGGGTGCATGTGCACCCCCTGAGAAAAGCAGTGTTGGCGGCACCTGCAGAGAGTCACTGCTCGCCACCCCACCACTGCCGGTGTCTATGGGCGGTCCGTGATTGCCACTGGCTGCTGCTGATGTTGCTGGCAGCATCTGCAGGTGGTCCCCAACCACTGGTCAGCGCTTGCCACCCTGCCACCGCCAGCACCGCCGCTGCCTGCAGGAGCGCCCCACTTGCCGCTGCCACGCTCCTGCTGCTGACAGCGCCACAGGGGCATGTGACATTCATGGCCCCAGAGCTTCTCAGCCTCTGGTGGGCTCAGATCAAGCATAGTCCTATGGTTACCTGCCAAGGTGACCCCTGAAGGGCTTCCTAGTCACACCTGGGGAAGACCACTCTCCTGGCACGGGGATAGCACCTGCCAAGGTCATGTGCAGTAAAACTTCCCACTTAGCTGCTGGAGTGGGACGGTCTTGGCTTTACACCCACTTTTATGGAAAGGGGAGACTCCTCCCTAGCTTGCTCCTGGGGCCTACAGCTAAAGGCAAGCGAAACTCGGGGGCATCCAAACCCCGAGCCTCCAGGCTCGGGCCTGCACATAGGATGCCCACCAAAGGATTTGGAAACATCTGAAACCCCAGATGGGGGTGGAGGATGTTTGCTAGTAGTAGGCCACTTATGGTGCTGGACTGTCTCACGGATTTGGAATTTGATTTGGCCATTGATTTAAAGATTCATAGATCATTAGGGGCAGGAAGGGACCTTGCAAGATCATCGGGTCCAGCCCCCCCCTCCCCCCCGCACTAGGCAGGAAAGGCAACGGGGGTCAGGTGACCCCAGCAAGGCAACCAGCCAGTTTCCTCTGTCAGGGTTTGCTGCTCTTTACCCCCTAAACTGACAAAGTCTCGCTGGCAGAAGTTGATAACAGGACTTGGCTCCATTAGAGGTGTGGCTCGAGATCACGGACGAGCTCTCTGAATGAAACGGTAAAATCGTCCTGTCCCTGGTGAGACCCTGCGTCCGCCAGGGTTTTGCCAAGGTGCCTTTGTCAACCAGGTTTAGAACAAAATATAATAAATAAATGACATTAAAATAAATAAATAACAAATAAAAGCCCCGAGGTCTGACTGCGTGGTACAGATCACACGAGCCACGTGGCCCCACGACAGCTCTGGCTGGTGTTGACCCGGTAAGCCCCGGGGCAGGGCGGGAAAAGCAACGAAACGCGGGAAAAGCAGAGGCCGGGGGCGGGACTCTGTGACGCTCGTCACGTGACGCGCTGCCGGGGCGGGGCGGGGCCCGGTGGGGGTCACGTGGGGAGGGCGCCCGCATCACGTGGTGCGAGCAATGGCGGCTCCGGCGGAGCGCGGGGCGGGGGTCGCCGCCGAGGA